TTCCATCTGTTTTCACACTTTTGTCCCCTCCCAGCTTCCCCTCCTGAAAGCATATAGCATGAATCCCAAAGCTCGGACAGGACATTCCTGGCCTCCTGGAACCTAGGTACGTCTCGGGGACACACAAGGGTTAGGGGTATCGGGCATTGCCAGCTGTCCACTTCCTCTTTAGTCACCATTTACTGTGGCCCCTGCTCCACTCCTCACCCCCATACACATACCTTGGGGGGAGCCATTTACAAAGCTTTTTTTTTATTGTTGGTTTTAATCAGTATGTGCAGCTTTGGCATTAAAGATAAATGAAAAATAAACTGCAGACATTAGTAACCATCCCCTAGGATGTATTTAAATGGAGGAACAGACTCAGGAAATAAGAATCAAGGAGCCATGTTATGGGTTCAAAATTAATTGTCATTCTACAGCCCCAAAGAGGCACCCACCCCACCTAGACAGCACCCCCGACGTTTAATGAAGTGTCAAGTCCATGTAGAACTCAACAACCCCACAGGCTGTGACGGCCCCAGTGGGCCTGGTGGATCTCCTCAAGCACAGCATTGCAAACATCAGCGTTACCGCCAACGTTGTAGAGGCTCATTCTAGGCTGTGTATGCGTGCTCATTCATTTAATCTTCCCAACAACCTAGTTTTTGTTCTCATTTGGGGACTGAGGAAACCAAGGCTCAGAGAAGCAAAGTAACTCGCTCAAGGTCACCCACATGATAAATGGAGTGAGGGATAGACCTTGTCTTCCTCTGGGAAGCCAGCCCTGAGAAAGGCTTCAAGTGGATGCGGGTTATTTGGAAGGCAATCCCAGGGAACACCCGGAAGGGGAACTCCAGAAGGAGCCAAATGAGGGTAAAGAACAGGTTTCTACTTCCAAAACCTGGCTCAGACCCTCTGGGAACCTCTGGGTTGCTAGGAACCCTCCATACACAAAGTGTGGTTCATGGACCAGCAGCAGTTAAGGCCCTGGGAGCTGGTTAGAAAGGCACACGCAATTGCAGATCCCAATCCAGACCTCCCCAGACAGAATCTGCATTTGAACTAGACCTCTACTGAGAGCATGTTCAAGTTTGAAAAGCATTGGGTAGACTAGAATATTCTTCCAAGCTACCTCACTTCCATCAGGAGGGCAAGGAAGGAGGAAGCATGATCTAACTCCCATCCATAGAGGGTGGTGGGGTGCGGTCCCAGAGAAGTCGATTCCCAAGTATCCCCAGCCTCTACCCCACCTGCTCCTGCACCAGAGAAAGCCTTGGAAAAGAAAGTGCAGGTGCTCGCGGTAGAATACCGTCATTACATAAATGGGGGCGCCAACAGCAACCACTGCAGAGACGATCCCAGGGGGTCTGCTCCAGGCCCGCAATCTTACTACCCACCCCACATTCATACCCCCAATTTCACATAATCCTCAGAGTCCCGTGGCATTGTTCCCATTCCCCAAATGGGCATACTGAGGCTCAGAGGGGTTGGTGACCTGCTTGATCTCATAATGGCTATCATTTATTGACTGTTTGCTCTGTGCCAGGCACCACGTGGGAGGTTTATATAGATTATTTTACTTAATTCTTATATGCTTCCCATGCGATAGGTCCTGTTATTATCCTCGCTTTGCAGGTGAAGAAAAGGTTCAGAGAGGTTCAGTGACTTTTCAAGGTCACACAGCACAATGCACGTCTGGCTGACACCAAAGCCCTTGATTTTAGCCACTCCCCCTATTCTTTCTCAGGGCTCCTAAGAGGGATGCTGGGACTACAGTGGGGTGCCCTGCCCCATTCTCATGCCTTCCTTGAGCGAGAGTTTGTACTGAGCAGGCTCCCTCCACCTCACCCTTCCTTTGTAGGGGTGACAGAACCTGTCTGCAGACAGACTTAGGGACAGGTACTGGGCAGCAAGTAGTGTCATGGGGTTTACTGCAGTTTGGGATGCAGATGTCACCAGAAAAGGTCTGTCTCCCCTTACTCAGCAGGCACCATTCTGGGGTTAACACCCTCCTCAGTGCTGCCTTCACCCAGGATGAGCCTTCCAGGACTGGTGAGGACATCTTGGGCCCCAGGACCTTTTCCCAGGAGAGCAAGGGAACTCACCCCGGCCCCTGCGAGAAAGCCAAGTCCAGTGTCATGGGGCTGCAAAGCCTCTGGCTGGCCCTCCTGCCTGGTCTCCAGCTCCAGACCTCTTCTTGTTGCCATGGGCACTAAAAGCCTGAACAAAGCGGTGATTAGCCACGGCAGGTTGCTGAGTAGGCTGGAGGTCTCTGAGCAGTGTCCAGATGTGGGGCTCCCCCTGTCTGTGGATGGAGCCAGCTGTCAGGGTGAGCACCCAGTTCCATTCCTGAGGCCTAGCACCCCCCTGGGGTCCAGAGGGAATGGGACTGGGCCCACAACTCTTGAGCAGAAGCTGTGAGTGCACTTGCCTGGCCTGGCTTATGCTCTGTGCTTCTGCCATCCTCCCTGAGAATGTACTCTGGTAGCTGCTGGCCACAAAACGAGGTGACACACGAAGCAGATTTGAACAAAACTGCAGCCTGACAAGGCCCAACTCCCGGCAGCCACTCGGCCAACCCAAAGACCAGTGAGAGCTCAATGCTTATTGTTCTAAGCCACTGAGTTTGTGGGGTGGGGGTGTCCTAGTCCATTGGGCTGGCTGTAACAGAGTACCATAGACTGGGTGGCTTATAAACAACAGAAATTTTTTGCTCACAGCTGGAGGCCGGAAGTCCAAGGTCAGGGCACTGGCAGATTCGGTGTCTTGTGAGGGGCCACTTCCTAGTACATAGTTGGCCATGTCTTCACATGGAAGGAATGTCTCTGGAGTCTCTTTTATATGGGCACTAACTTCATTCAGAGGGCTCCATTCTCATGATCTAATCATTCCCCAAAGCCCTAGCTCCTAATACCAGCACATTGGGGGTTAAGTTTCAATGTATGAATTTGGGGCCATGCAAATATTCACTCTATAGCAGGAGTTGTTATACAGCAAAAGGAAAACTAATACACTCTATCACAGAGTTTCCACGAGTATCATTAGAGTGAAAATATGCATAAAGTGCTTACAACAGTCCTGGCACACGGCAAGCAATCAGGGCTTAATAAGAATCTTGAGTACCTGTTATGTGTGAGGCCTGGGAACACACTGGTGTGTGAGACCAGTTCCTCGACTCAGAAGTTTTATTTTCTAAGGGTTGTGTGTGAGGGTGCCTGAGGGTTGGGTGCGGCCATACCAGCCTTAGGTCCCCGAGGCCTGGCTGATGGGCACGCCCCTTCCTCTGATGATTTGCATATTAGAATTATGAAACAGTGAAAGGGATCCTGCCCCAGGAGACGAGTGGAGCGGACAGGGTGCTGTGGGAGCTGAGAGGACAGAAAAGACTTTCAGCTGCAGGGCCCAGCATGGAGAAGCATCAGGTAGTAATGGACCTGGGCCTTGCCAAGGGGTTGAGTGAGAAAAGGGAGCAAAGGCATTCTGGGGACGGGGACCTGCGGGAACAGAGTGGCAGACTGTGGTTCCAAAAATGGCCACGACAACGTCTCCCATCCCACATATTCTTACTATGTGCCTGTAACATTGCTCCTATCGAGAGGTGGGGTCTACGTAAGATGCACCACGGCGTGCGTGCTGGAAGCTGGATCTACTGAATCATTTGCAGGGCACAGTGCAAAATGAACACGCAGGCCTTTGTTCAACCAGGATTAAGAATTTCTAGGCGGAGACAGCAGAGCTTTAATCCAGTGCAGGTCCTTCCGAGGGTGTGCCCTGTTGGGATGCACAGGCTGCAAGCCCATGGAACCGGCCCTGACTGTGGAGTCCAGGTCTACTACATAGCCAGGCACTCAGTGGTGCAGTGTGGCTGGATCAGGGAGGGGACTGTCTCCAGACCCCTTTAACAGCTCGGCTCCTTCCCTTCCCGGCCTCACTTCTTATACCATCAAGAATGAACTGTGTCCAAAGGTCTAGCCTCTGCCCTTGGCTCCTAGTAGGTGACCTCTAAACCTTGGAATGTCCTGCCTGATAGGAGTGTCTTTGTTTACCTGGGCCTTGGGGCAGTCTACACTGTGATTTATGATGGGGCCTGGGACAGTCTACACTGTGATTTATGATGGGGCCTGGGTCATGTGGTATTAGCCTGACCTCTGGAGGGCTGGAGACTGCAGGCACCATGTGGGCGGTCAGCCATATCTACATGACCAACCCCCAGTAAAAACTCTAGACACCAAAACTCAGGGGAATGCCCCTGGTTGACAACGCTCTGTGCGTGTCACCATCACTGCAGGGATAATTAGGTACTGTCTGCGTGATGTTCCTGGACACTCATGCCTGGTCTCTCTTGGACCCCACTCTTTGGGCTTCTTCCCTTTGCCAATTTTGCTCTGCATCTTTTGCTGTCAATACACCATAACTGTGATTATGGTGGGTTTTCTGAGTTCTGTGAGTCCTTCTAGCGAATTAGTGAACCTGACAGTGGCCTTGGGGACCCTGGAACTGCAGTTCCCTCTCCTCTACCCGTGTATCCCAGGATCACTTCCCAGACAGACGCATTGCTTGCAAAGCCAGGGCCAGGCTCTGCTTCTGGGAGAAACCAACTGAGACAGTGGGCAGAACGAAGTCAGAAGCCACACCGTCTAATCTGATAGAAGCCAAAGAAAACAGAGACATACGTGCCATGATCAGGACAGTCTATGGGGAGAGTGGGCACCAACAATTTCATTGACATTCTTTAAATAAACACAAGAACCTTTGCATTCCATACCTAGAAATATATTACTACCAGGATCCCACAGCTGGCAGGGGTGGAGCTAGATCTCAAATGAGGTCCATGTGATTTCAGAGCTCATGCCCTTGGCCATATCCAGGCCTACACTGTGTCCTACAAATCGAGGAGCCAGAGACCATGCAAAGGCTCACCACCAGCAGACATCTGTGATAAGCAATTCTCTTAGATGCATCTCTGCATCCTAGTGTGCTCCATCTCCTCTGCCCAGCCCAAGAAGTAGGGTTCACCATTCATTACAGAGGATCTTTATTCATAACACAAAAAAGAAATTATAAATCATTTTTTGGACTGTTTCGATATCTGTAAAACAACTTGTAAAAAACGAAGCCACTCCTTTGCAAGAAGTTCCTGTGTGTGTTGACCTCCTGGGTACCGTCTGCATGGCCCAGGGTGCCAGGACTGTGTCTGTCCAGAAGAAAGCCTCTCCCTGGTACTCTGATGGCCGTCGCCATGGCCCTGGGGTCAGCAAGAATGTGTAGGCATTAGAGGTACGGTCCACTCAGTGGGGCCAGGGAAACAGTGTTCTGGAAGCATGTTGGGCTGACTCCTTGCTCATCCTGCCACACCTCTTCTGGTCAAGTGCCGGAATCACTCCGTTTTCCCATCCCACATACTCAGCACATCATCTGTTCCAGGCAGCGACATCCCCCTGGGGACACACAGAGGAGGGATGGCCAGAGCAGGAGCTGGTGCAGACAAATCCTCGACTTGTGCTTCCTCCTCAGGCTTCGGGGTCTATTTCTCCATCCTCTGGACACGACCCCGTCTCATCCAGCCAGACTAGGAGACAGAGGGGAGACCAACATCTGGATGGACCCCCACCCTTCCAGGCCCCCTTTCCCCGAGAGCTCCAGGGATGGTCCCTCCAGGCTCCTTGCTTTGTACCACCTCCCTGAGCTTCCCACCCCACATATAGGCAACGGTGTCAACAGATGCTGCGAGGGGACCCTAATGACGCTGGGGTCTCCCAAGATTTCCCATACACTCCCAGCCCCCACTCAGTGCTGAGCTTTCTGGGTCCTGGCTGAGACCCCTGGGATTGTGGGCCCCGCTAGGCCCACCTGGGTTCAGCCTCTTCAAGCCCAGGGCTGGGCGATTCCAGAGATGGGAAACTGAGGCTCAGAGAGGGGAGACCTGCTCCAAGTCATCGGGGTGGCTGGGCAGGACTGGGGTTCTCATTAATTCCTCGCTGCCGAGGGAAGCCCCAGGTATCTGATCATCACTCAGAGCCCTCAGGCCTGAAGGAAGTGCCACCCAGGTCTGGTGGTCTTTCCTCCTGCCCTAAATTCCACTGGTGAGAATATCGACAACACACCACGAGAAATCAGCCTTTGACCTTCCTTGTCTTGAACCCTTCACAACCTCTCTGAAGTGCTATTACTGTCTCCATTTTACAGATGGAGAAACTGAGGCTCAGAGAGGTGGAGCTTCCTGCTCCAAGTCACATGCTGATGAGTAGCAGAGCCAGGATCTAAATTCAGGGTTATCTGACTCTAAGCTTGTGCCCTTTCTCCTATGCTTCCGTTCTTTCAATGGGGAAATCAGAAGGTCGGGTCTGAGCTGTGCCTCCAGATGACAGGAGGGGGCCCATGTGCTTCTTCCTCTGTACAAATCCTCCCTAAAGCTGCTTAAGCTTAAAAGAAACCTCTCTTAGGGCTAGGAAGGGGGCCCAGGGCTTCTCGGCTCTCACCCCACAGACTTTGTAGAGCAGCAGTCCCCAACCCTCGGGCTGCAGCCTGGTACCGGCCCGTGGCCTGTTAGGAACTGGGCTGCATAGCAGGAGGTGAGCAGCGGGCCAGCAAGCAAAGCTCCATCTGTATTTGCAGCCATTCCCCAGCGCTAGCATCACCGCCTCAGGTCCGCCTCAGATCATCAGGCATTAGATTTTCATAGGAGCACCCATCCCTGGTGCCCAAAAGGTTGGGGACTACTGCTGTAGAGTAACCGCGAGTCTCCCCTACGCTCACATGGCCCTGGGAGCAGGGAAGGCAGTTAGGGTACCATTTCACAGATGGGGAAACTGAGGCTCAGAAAAGGAAGGGAGTATAATGGCAGAGCCAAGGACCTGGGCCTCCACTGTCAGCAATGTCACTGATTAGACGTTGGAGCAGGAGGCCAGCTTCTCCCATCTTGCTGTGTGCATTTTGGATGGGTCACTCTCCCTCTCTGGACCTCAGTTCCCCCAGCTGTAAACTTGGGATAAAGGCAATACTTACAGCCCATACGGTTGGAATGAAAATTAAATAAGATTTCTGAAAAGCATTTAGCCTAGTGCCCGGCTCTTGGGAAGGTAAAATAGGAATGAGACCAATTACAATCCCTGTTGAGCATGGCCTGGCCCCAGTCACTGCATAGGCCTGGCCCAGAGTCCAACGTCTTTCTCCAGGTCACGTGCCCTGGTGGGCAAGCTGAGATCCAAACTCAGCCCATCTGGAAAAGTCTGCCTAGGTACCCCGCACCAGACTCCCAGGAGCTCCACATCAGCCTTGTCGGCCTGTGTCCTTCACACGAGCCAGGCAAGAGTCACATCTCGATGGCTGCTTGGCTGGCTTACGCTGTCACTAGGAGCGCATCTAGGCTAGGGGTCCACAGGGCAATCTCCAGATCATGCAGCCTGGTCTGAACCCCAGCTCTGCCAATCATTAGCTGTACGGTAAGTGTCTCAGCCTCTCGGCACCTGCTTACTCATCCATGAAATGGGAATGAAAATGGGTCCTTAACTCAGCGTTACCGTGAGGAATCAATCATTGCTATCAGAATCATTACTTATTATTATTGTTAATTATTATTATTCACAATAGCAGCCTCAGAATCTAGCACAGGTCTGGCTCAATAAATCTCCTTAATGAATAAATGAACAGTCTGTCCCACCAGCTCCAACAGTATCGATGGAGGGGCATATGGGGGGACCAGTGTCGGCCTCTCCTTCTCACCCTCTCTCTGGGAACGATTCTATCTTCTCTCCCTCCCCCGTAGCAAGCTGCATCCAGAAGGCCCAGAGACCAGCCCCAGCCCGGCGCGGGTGTGTTCCCAAGCCTGCCCTGCCCTGCGGAACTGCTACAGCCAGCACGACCGCGCACCAGTCGCTGGCAGGGGAAGGCACATTCATCAGTTACCTTGGTGAGCCTGCCCAGCCCCATCCATCATTCGCTCAGCTGCCAGCAGGGGCTGTCTAGCTAATTACTTAACATGCCACATCTTGCTGAGGCTGGCCACGGAGAGGGGCCCACAGTGGAGAGTAATATCTAAGGGTAAATTTTTAATAAGCCCAGGGGAGGTGGGGACATGAGCTCAGACCCGCAGTACAGAAGGGGGCCCCTGTAAGCTGTCCCCAGCCAGAAGCCCCAGACCTGACCTGACCTGGCAGCAGGGCAGGGGTGGCCTCACCTGTCCGCCTGGAGTCCCTTGACAGCATCATGCCAGTGGGGGTCGGGGGGGTGATGATGATGTTGGGCACATCCAGGTGCTTGTCGCTCAGGACGGGGGCCTCATCATGGCTGCTGCTGCTGCTGACACACATTTTAAAGCCTGAGAGGGCAGGCCGTGGAACACACACGTACACACACGACAGAGAGACAAGCATCAGTGGCCGCTGGGGAACTGCCCGCCGCTGGCTGCCTGCCCACCCCCTCCCTCCCCTCACCACCACTGTGAGTCCTGACAACTCTCAGGAATGATGGCATTGCTGTCCCCACTTCACAGATGAGGAAACTGAGGCTCAGGACAGTTACATGACCTGCCCGACCTTGCATAACTCAGCAAAGACAGTGAGTTTTATCTGCTTTGTTCACTAATGTAACTTCGGTGGCTAGAACAGTATCTGACACAGTAGGTACTCAAAACATGACTCAGAACGGACGAAAGCAGCAGAGCTTGAACTGGAACCCAAGCCTGTCTGAGTGGGAGCCATGCATGATTTTCTGAAGCAGTTTGTATAAGATTGACGGTGTTTCTTCTTTACACGTTAGACTGAATTCACCAGAGAAACTGGGCCTGGAATTTTCTTCGTGCGAAGACTTTTGATTACAGATGTGGTTTCTTTAACAGACATGGGGCTCGTCAGCTTTTCTGTGTCCATGTTGTGTCAGTTTAGGTGAGTTGTGTTTTTCAAGGAATGTGTCCATTTCTTCTAAGGTGTTGAAATCGTTGTCTAACTTCTCCCATTAATTAAGTGCAGGCAATTCAGCCGAGCTAGTTATAGATTTATAACTAGAAGTACCGGCACCCTTCGCTCCACAACGCACCTTCCTCCGTTCTTCCTGTCTGAGTCGATGGCATCACAGTTTGCCAGAAACCAAAGAGTCAGCCACAGTTCATCCCTTTCCTCCTCACCCTCTGACTTCCAGCCAATTTAATCAACCACCGAGCCCACAGATGACACCCGCTTAATGTCTGACACCCTGCCTTCTCCCTCCTCAGTCCCTTCGCCTCCTGCCTTCTCCCTCTGTGGTCTGCCCTCCAAACAGTAGCCAGAAACTGCAAATTTGATCATACACATACCTACTTAGAATACTTGCTAGTTCTTGACAATTATCTACAAGCACCATTTCCCAACTCTGGCCTCCTGAGGTTCTCTCAGGAAAGGTATTCCACGATGAAATGAGTCTGAGAATCCCACACATTTGAATGTTGACTGAATCCCATCTATTCTATCCTTCTCTTGGAGATTCCCGTGCATGTTAGAGAATTAAAAGCTCTGAGAAGTCCTGCAGTAAGGAAGCTGCATTAACTGTGCTTAACTTTGGACTTCCTGAACTTAAATAACCATAGAGGCTGTTAACATCTCACAGAACCATGAGTCGTAATGTACATTTTGGGGTACATTGGTCTTAAATTAAAGTCAGCCTCTTAGCCCGGCTTTCAGCCTTCACGATCTGGCCCAAACTACCTGCAGCCTCATTTCCTGCCACCTGTCCACACTCCTCAAACTGCTCACAGTTCCCCAAATACACTGGTCTTCTCAGCCTCTGCATGCCTTTGCACAGGCTGTTCCCCATGCCTGGAGTGTTCTTCCTTCGCCAGGATGAGGTCCTACTCATCCTTCAAAGCCAGACACAAGCAGCTCTTCTTGGGGGAAGATGTCCCAGCAAATCTGATTCCTCCCTCCCTTGTCTACCTACCCTCATTCATTCATCCATCAACCTTCCAGCACTGATCACACTGTATTGAAATGATTAGTTCTTAATTCGGTCTCCCTTTACTGTGAGCAGCTGGAGGGTGGACGCTATCTCATTCAATTTGTTTCCCTTGAGCCTAGCATAGTACCTGGGACAGAGCAAGTAGGAGAGCTTTAAATCTAAACTGAAAAACAACTTCAGGCACCACTGAATTGGCTGTTAAAATCCTCATGTCTATGTTTCTTTGTGTTTTTTTTTTTTTCCCAAACAGCCCCAGACTGGGATTGCATTAGTTCAAGTGTCTGAGCCTCTGGCCAACAGCAGGAGCTGAGCGATGTGGTGAGGTGATTATTATCCCTGCTGCTCCTCAGGCCAATCCTGAGCACCAGTGGGACAGTGCTCCTGAATGACCCCTGGTGGGCCAGTGTGGTGGTTCTCAACTAGGTCCCTGAGAGGCGGAGTCTAACTCCCTTCCCCTTCAGTGTGGGAAGGACTTAGGATGAATTCTAACGAATAGAATAAGATTGAAAGGATGGAGTATGGCTTCCAAGAAAGGGTCATAAAGACACAGCTTCCTCCTTACTCTCCTGTTTGGGGGAAGCCAGCTGCCATGTCTGAGGACATGCAAGCAGCATGTGGAGAAGACCACGTGGTGAGGAACTGAGGCCTCCAGCCAACAGCTGTGAGAGGGAGCCACCTGGGAAGGGGGTCCTCCAGCCCAGCCACGCCTTCAGACGACACTATGAGCCTGGTCGACAGCTGGAATATAACTGCACAAGACAGTCAGAGCCAGAACCTCCCAGCTGTCATTCCTTAATTCACAGAAAGTATGATAATAAATGTGTAAGCCACGAAGTTTTGGGGTACTTTGTTACACAGCAATAGATAACCGACAGCATAGTTTGCCTATTCTCAGAACCCCAATCCTGCTTCCTCCCTGGAGAGTCCCTACGGCCCCCTGAATCTACCAGGCTGGTCGGTTCTAGAGGAAGAGGCCCCATCAACTATGAGTCCTTCAAGAGCACCCACCCAGGCCAAAACCAACTTGGTCTAAAGCAGTGGGTTTCAAATCTCCTTTACACAGCAGAGCCATTCTAATGTAGGGAGGAGGCAAGAGGATTAAAAATGTTAATCAAACTACATTCAGAGACTGCAATATGCTGATCAGCCCTGCAGGTAGGCCAGGAGGACACCTGCAGAACAAAGATCTCTTCTAGGATTGCTAACAACCCATTCTCCACACCTGTGAAGGGGAAACAGGAACCAACAGTCATTCCCTATGGCTAAAACCTTGGGGAACCTATGGATTAAAGGCTGGGAACTGCCAGCAGGCCTTTCACTCTACATATTCTTACCTTTACACACTACATACTCTTCCCCTTCCTCACTGTATGTCCATATCAAAGGATATGGCTTAACAAAGTCTTTTAAACTATAACTCACAGGAACTAAAGAATGATACATAAACTGAATTCCCCAACACTCAGGGTCCCTCTCACTGTCCCTCCCTCTCTCTGCCTCTGAGAGGAGACCACACTCTGTCTGTGGAGTGTTATCCCTTTTCTAATAAACTTTCTTTTTGACTCTAACTTCGTTGTGTGTTGAATTCTTTCCACACTCTCCACCAAAGGGCCCTCTTCTCTCTGTGCAGGGCTTGGTCTCTACCCCTGCCCCTCATCGGGGAAATCTGCCCTGTCCTGCATCAATTCTTCCTGCGAACTTACGCAGACGCCCAAAATGTAAAACAAATAAGTCACTTGGAGGAGGCCCTCTCTGGTGATTTATTATCACCAGTAATAAATAGTCAGCATCTACTATTCAATCATTTGCCATATGCCAGACACAGCAGAGCATCCAATGAACACTTTCTCCTTCGGTTTCATGGCTACTCCGTGAGGTGTGATGTGTAATCAGCCCCATTTCACAGATGTGGGGACTGAGGACCAGAGAGAGTAAGAAATTACAGAGTTGAATAGCAGAGTCTGGTGGAGCCAGGATCTGAACCCAAACACAAGCCTGTCTGATTCCATAAGCTGGTGCTTTTTATAACCACAATTCTATATAACGGAGCTGGCAAACTTTCTGAAAAGAGCAAGACAGTAAATATTTTTTACTTTGGGGGCTATATCGTCTCTATTACAACTACTCAACTTTGCCATTGTTTCTGGAAAGCAGCCACAGATAATATGTAAATGAATGAGCCTGTCTGAGTTCCAATAAAACTTTATTTATAAAAACAGGTGGCAAGCCAGATTTGGCCCTAGGGATGTAGTTTGCCAATCCTGCCCTCGAATATCCGTGAATTTGGATCAGGGATGTGCCTGGTGTCATAATATACAATAAAAGAACCTCGAGAACCTGAGGCTCTTGAATGCCAAAAGCAAAACCCCAAACCTGGCTGCTATTGGGCAGTGACAGCAGCAGCTTTTGATGAAGGACAATGAGCTCCACGGAATGAATAAAATGAAGCACTCTGCCTAGCCGGTGTGGCCCAGGGGGTGCTCAATCCCTGTTAGAGTCTCTGTAATCATCCGTAAAGAGCATCTCATGGAGGGCGCGCAACAAAAGGAAGCTCTGATTATTGTTATCTGTGACAGGAGGGAGCCTCCTGCTCAGTCTCTGAGGCCCCTTCCTCGGTGAATATTCCAAAGTTCTAAAATAAAATGCTAATGAGGAGAAAAACCACACTCCTCCCAGGGCCGCAGATTTGCATTTTAACATGTTCTGGGAGCTTGGTGACAAAGCCACATTCTTAATCGGGAAGCATCGGGTCACTCAATGGGCCCTCCAGAGATGCTGAAGGCAGAGAGGAGAGGGGAGGGAGGAGGGAGCAGTGAGGGAGGGGAGGGAAGGAGGAGGGTGGGACTCTAGTTCCTCTCCAATCCCCAGGCTGTGCAGCCTCCAGCAGAGGTGGCTGAGAGGGAGGGAAAAGCTCTCAGGAGATAAAGCCCACTTTGGGGATTAACAACAAATGCCAGCCCTGCCCCAGACAAGGAGCTCATTTGTGCTAACTCCAGAATTGTTATTTGTTAATTATGTGCCTGCCTCAGGCCATTCAGAGCCCATTTCCTGAGGAGAAGGGCTGGGCTGGGGTTCCAGGGGGCAAGGCCCCAAGGAGGGAGAGGGCAGAGGGCAATGGCAGTGCCCCAGAGCCTTGACTGAGCCCTGCGGTGGGGCACATGCTGTCATGCTGTTCTGGGCCCTGTAGGTAGAGGAAGCCAGACCATCTAAACCCCAACCTCCCCAGCCTCCGGAGCCAGCCTCCCTGGCCTTCCCTTCTGTGCAATGGGAGATGCTGTGACAAGAGGTCGGACTTGGCATCTGCACCCTGGCTCTGCTCCTTCCCAGCTCAGGGCAGTGGCGTGCTATGTTGGCTGCCCAATGACACTCACTTGGGAAGTTAAAAAATAC